ATAAACATAACTTTTATCTGCACTGGGAAACCAAAAAATTTGTGTCACCTGCTTTCTTGCAATATTCGCTTTTATTGCAATGATCTGGAACCAAACCCACAATATCTCTGAGGTCTGCCTGTACTTCAACCTCAAATACCAGAAAACTGAAATAACTTGAAATAAGATTTAGTCTTTCAGTATCATATGAATGTGTTTAAGACCTTTGTAACAAATATAATCTCCATGGCAACATATTTTTTTTTACCAGTTTTTGTTTAATGCTGCTTTCATAGTGTCTAGATCATGCCCAGCATGTAGCAGATGTTCAATAAAATTTGACGATGCATTTGTCCTATCGTTTATTATTCAACTATAGTTCATTGAGTAAAAATTCTTTGCTAAGCATGTGCTAGGGCTGCAAATACAAATAAAATCAAAGAGCTTAGAGTGATGCAGCCAGATGAACAGAAAATAAAACACATCTTGATGTAAGCTAGAGGAAATTGCTGACTTTTATAGAAGAAATACAGAGCAGACCCACTTTAACCTGCTTACAAGACAAATTGAAGAGAGGCAGATTTGGGAGTTAGACTGGGAAATGCAGATGAGTGTGTAGTTTAAGAGGAGATGGGCAGGGAACAGACTGCTTGGCTTTTGATCCTAGCCTTGTCCTTTCTAGCTGGGTGACCTTGGGCACATTATTTCATTTCCTCTCAACTCTGATTTCTCATCTCCGGGGGATGGATCCCAAAAAATATCTTTCTAATTTATTTTGCTCTTTCCATTCTTTAGAGTTAAATGAGCTAATGTATGTAAAAGACATAGAAATATTCTGGCACAAGGTAAGCACTCAATAAAACATTGTTGTTGTTGTTACTTATCAGTGACATTATTTTCATAATTGCAACCAGTATATATGACATGGACATGATGCTTTCTATTTTGTTTGCTGATGATGCACAGTATACTTAGGGTTAAGTGCTGAGATGATGGCCTATTTCTCTTTGATTGAATAAGACCATACTCTGGAAGAAAGATATCCTGGGGGAAATACTTGAAATATAAGAATACACAAAAGGAGTCTCCCATATGTTCAACTACTAAAAGCAGATTAAATGGCAAAATCAATAGATGCAATTAGAGTATAGAATTTAAAACTGGACACATATTTTATCCAAATATTTCTTTAAAAAAGTCATTGTTCTCATTTTATTCCTAAGACAAAGAGGCAGCAGTAAAAAGTTGCCTAGAAATGAATACAATCCGTGCAATCCAGTGTTTCCTCTGTCACCATGCAAGTTATAAAACCTCACCAGTTTTTGGTTTCTTTATGTTTAAAATGTGGCTAGTAATACCAACACATGGTTTACCTTAGAGTTTTGGGTAGGAATCAAGGGAGATGAAAAGCATATTTTAAGTACACTTGAAAATGATAAATTAAGGCACTCAAAAGCAAAAGATACAAGCAAATTAGAAACAATTATTTGGCATTTTTTGCACTCTGTGGGTGGCAACATTTCTCATCATATTTACTGAATACTTTAAAGTCAAATGGTATGTTCTAAAAATAATTTCCTGAAAATACCTTATTATGGACTTTCTCTAGTAAAGAATTCTCTGAAACTTCTTGGTTTGGTACAGATATTGGTTTTGTACAGGTATTTCCACATCTGGAATCAGATTCTTTCAGGTGTGTAAGTACTCCGTAAAGCACTAACTACAAAGTTTATTGCAGCAGCTTCTGAAAACACTATTTAAACTACTGAACCTGAAAATGTATGCATATATCAGGCAAGTCGGTTTTGGCAGAAGGAATCGAGAAGATTAAGTGCCATATTTACATGTATTTGAACGCTGGCAACTTTGGGATCATTCCACTACCTTTCATATGATATTGTAATGTTTGCTCCCTAGGAGACAGGAGGGGAAGCTGCCAGCACCCATTGACTACTGTACTTTGCTTTATGCAGTCAGCTTCTTCACTTTGTTTGGCACCATAAACAACTCCACGCTATCCCTTACAAGGTTCAAGCCTGGGGGAGTGTGGTGAAAACAAGTAGCTTATGCTTTTGTTCTAAAAAATTATTCACTTTTTTTACATTTACCTTTCACCTTTTTTGTTTGCTTCCTAATGCAGGCATAAATATTTGTGCAAGCCAGATGCAGCATTATTTTTAAGAGATTTATGCTACTTCCTGGATCAACAACTTGGTACTTCAATAAAGACCAAAGACATTGTGTTACTATGATATATTTTGAAACTATCAAAACAAATAACATAATATTTAAAAAAAAGTAATTAAAAGTGAAAGGATCTAAATCCTTGATGAAGATGAATAATGGAATATATACGTCCATCCTACAGACTCATTACCAAAGTTATTATATACTTTTATATATATCCTCTTTTACTCTCATGTGAAAACAATGCAATGACAACTTATTTAAACAAAGATCAATTTTTTAAACAAGTTGATATTTTCACTTATTTATTTCCACCATTTCTGTTTAGAATTCTTAGAAAGAAAATAAGAAGTAATTTTTACTCTACTAATGTATCTAATTTGTAAAATTTAAAGCACTGACTGGCTAGTCAGTCATTATTCCAGTTTTCTACTAAAAAAGTCTGAGGAAACATCGAAAAAGTGTCATAATGAGAATAAAATTGTAATCATGTTAGAATTGACAAAGTATGTTTCTCTAGCTCTTTATCTTTTTTTTTTTTTTCTGGAAACTTCCTTTCCACAGGCTATTCTGGAAATTATTTTCATTCTAACTTTGTTTATGATGGGACTCTCCAAGTTAGAATGGGGTGACGCTGCCTCCTATTCCTAAATTATTAATCCAGAGGTAGGAATCAGAAACAATCTATGTAAATGAGTATTTCTTTGCATAACTAAATAAGCACTTTAATATCCCACTGTCTCTAGTATAGTGCTCTTCAAAACAGTGAAGATGTCAGTTTAGGAGTAATTGATGCTGAAGATACTGATGTTGAAAATAGAGGAATCTAATGTCAGGTAGATGAGATAAAGTATGTGAAAAAATAGAGGCACACAAATAGAGAGAGTTTGAAAGAATTTATCTCTCTGGTTTTATAGTTCAGCACTTTGAATTTCCTGAGTTATTTCAGAATCATTATTATACCTTCCTCTCTTTTTTATTAGTCTAGTTTGACTTGGCATTTTGCTACCTACTATGAGAACAGTTCCTAATAAAAAGTGTTAAACACTTTCTTCAAAGTTTCAGAGAGAAATTTATACTTTATAGGCCATAAATAAAGGGCACAATAGATTAATGTAATTAGTCTACAGATATTTTGCTGCTTGGAAAAAAAAATACCTTCGTTACTGCCTTTATGTTGGTTATAAACCCAAATAGCCACACTTCTCTTACAATTGCTGTCATGTGGCAGCCACACTTTTGTTCAAAAACTCTATGTGTTGCCTTAGCAGATCTTTTATCGTATGTCCCTATGTGGTGACATTTTAAGAAACAAGACAGGCTCTGAGTGAAAGGGGCTAATAATGTAGCATCGCATTCTGGGAGGTTGATTCCCCTGAGAAATGTTGAATGTAGAGAGAAATGCAGTCAAAACTCTAGCGTTGCAAGAATGACCAGGAGTTTAGATTGTCAAGTAGATTAAATGATAGTTATGGAGAGGGCAATTAAGGAGGGCTGGGCAATAGCAGTGTCACTTTTCAACATAATCCAATGAATGCACACTAAATGGATACAAGAAAATAGACTTGGAATTTTGAGACCTGTATCTCATCTCTATATGAGTGCACCAGAAGGTATAACCAGACACATTTTGAAATGAATTTGCAGAAAGCTATTGATGGTTTTGCTTTTATTTTGCTGTTGTGCTTTCCCCCCATTGTTTGTGTATTGCCAACTATTCAAAATGCACCTTAATTAAACAAACAACAAGAAAAGTAAGGTTAGTTTCAACCTGCTTCACTTTTCATTAACTTTTCCTGGACTATAATACTGGCAGCCTGGACATTGCTCCTCAACTTTTCACTTCCCTGAAAACCAGTGGTCCCTTTCAATTCATATACTCTCATCACTTTTAAAATCTGAATACTTTAAAATATAAATATGACAGAATAATTGTTTCTGTTCTCCTTATACTATCTTCTTTATATATTAGACTTCTGTTAATTTATCTTTGTCTAATTTAATTTAATTTTATCAACCCATTAATCTACTTGGCACATTCATTTAAAAATTTCAAATTTGTCTATTCTGACATTCAATTCCTTGTTAAGTATACTTTTTTTCTTAATCCCTATACCTGAATGGGATCAATTTTCCTTCACTCTATAGAACTGTATTGTAGTGCGGGAATGCTGGTGAAAAATTACTTCCATTTTTGTGTGTTTTAAAATATTGTAAAGTGTCTTAATTTTTGAAGAATATTTTACAATTGATAGAATTTTACATATATTATACTGCTTTAATGAATTAATTCCATTGTCTTCTGGAATCCATTGATTCTGTTGAGAAGTCAGATGTCAGTTTTATTGGTTAGTAATTTAAAACACTATGTCTTTTTAAAATTGATTTCTTTAATATTTTCTTTTTTTTAATGCAGATATTTTACTATGATGTTTATATATGTCATTTTATTTGAATTTATACTGCTTGGTGTTCACAATGTTTTACAAATCTATGTTTTAGTATCTTTCTTCAGTTTTAGAAAATTCATGGTGAGTATATCTTCAGATATTGCTTCTATTTAATTTTCTTCTTTTTTCCCCCCTATAAATCAAATTACATGTATACTAAACTTTTTTCAGTGTTTTACACTTGTCTCTAATGTTCCTTTTATGTTGCTTTATTCCTTCTTCTTTGTGTTTCAGTTTAAATATTTTCTACTAGATAGACTTAACCTCAGACTGGATTCAGAATAGGAAGTCCAGTGAACTTGAAGACAGGTAAAAATAGCTAGTCGAAGTAGAACAGAAAAAGAAGAAAGAGCGAGAACCAAAGTAGAACAGAACATCTCTCATATGTACCATAATAGTAAATGGAAAACCTATATGTAACTAGCTTCCATGAAAGGGAGAAAATATAGGGTAAGTCAGAAGAACTATTTGAAGAAATAAGAAATGGGGAATTTCCAAATTGACGAAAGACATTAATGTACATATGTGAGAAGCTCAGCAAAACTCCAAGCAAATAATACACACATAAAACCATGCCATATCATAAATTAATTCTTTAAAACCAAAAAAAGAGTAAATCTTAAGGGACAAGGGAAAAACACTCATTACATATAGTAGAACAACAAAATGAATGACTAATGACTTCCCATCAGGGAAAACAGAATGTCAAATTGCAGGAAGAAAATAAAAATTTTTAGTTATAATTTTATATTCAGTAAAATATTGCTTAAATTTTAACAAGTTTCAAAGGTTATTTCCAGACAAAACCTGAAAGTATTTTTATCCAGTAAATTCACTACAAATAATGTTTAAAAGAAGTTCCTTAAGTGGAAGGAAAAAATTAACAGATAGAAAGTCAGATTTATAATATGTGATGAGAAGCACCAGGAAAGGAATATTTCTAGGAAAATATATAATATCATTGTTTTATATTTATATTTTT